ACGACTGACCGCATCTCAACATGGTCAATGCTTTTATACCAAATCAACTCAATCACACTATTGGAGCTTCTGCTCACTATGCTACGAGATTGATGGACATTTGGAAGCAGCAAACGATATCTGGCAACAATGCCATTACAGTCGACATTTACAAGTAAGCGAATTAAAAGTGAACCCGATTATTCCATTGCTGCATCTAAGATGACAATTCCAACTCTAGATCTATGATGGCCATGACGACGGATGTGTTTGGTAAAATTCTGTTCTCTCACGAATTCAACTCCTTGGATCGAATTGCAGACCCGTTGCATGTTCACGGCGCATTTGAAGTCGCAGTGGATATGATGGTGACTGTTCCTGCAAAGGTAGACTATACCGCAATCCATGAACACAATCGATGATTATTTACTGATTGGATCTTACAAAATCTACTTGAACAAAACAGAGAGCTGGCAAACCTGAAATCTTGTGGGACTGGTACGGGATCTCTCAGGCTCAGCTTAAAGCTGCTCTCAAACCTGTGTACGATCTCTTGAATGAAGTCATTATCAAGAAACGTTTCGAAATCAAACACCATGGCGGAAGACGTCCTGGAGCTGCTCGAGACTTGATTGATTTGTTGCTAGAGGCTGATGAAACTGGTCGAGAGGTTTAAATTTATTTCGTCTGATATTGAATTGTGTCATGCAAGTAAATTTAGTGCGATTTACCTTGTAGAAATTCAGTCCTGAAGAGATCATTGATGACGCAGCTACCTTTGTAAGTAAACTCTCATGGCGCAAGGTAGATTACAGCAAGCCTTACGCTCTGCTTCTTATTAGTATCTGGGTGGTAAATATGAGCGTATGGAAGCTCACAGCAACGAACATCTCACTCAATTCATGTCTTTGACAAGGTCACGACACTACTGCTTCCACGCTCACATGGACATTCTTTGAGCTCTGTCAGCATCCCCATGTGGTCAGCAAACTCCAAGAGGAGATTCATGCCATGATGGCCAGCCAAACTGATTTGGACAACATCCATTTGGCTCGCTTCGAATACTTGGATCATGTTTTTTCTGAAGTACTGAGACTACATCCGCCAACCGTTATGGCCAATTGGCGTACTGCTGTGACCGATCTTCAAGTTATGGGTCATCGTATTGCCGCTGGCTCTCGAATCATGATTGCCATTCGAGAAATTCAACGATCTGACGCTTACTGGACTGACGCTCAAGATTTCAATCCTGACCGATGGGATAGTTTGAAAGCTGGGCATGAATACTTGCCATTCAGTGATGGAGAATATAAATGTGAGTTGTATTCACGACGCATCCTTCCTTGCTAGCATACTGACCAAAGAATCACCAATCCAACAGGTATCGGTAACAAAATGGCGACTATGGAAGTAAAGGCTACAATGGTAGCTATTCTCAGCAAGTACACACCACGTCTCGTTAGTGGTCAAAAGCCACGTGGCATCTATTCAGCTACTTTGGCCCTCAAGAATGGATATATGGTTGAAATGGTCGAGCGCCACTGAACATTTTATTTTCCTTTACGTGTGTGATTGACTTTGATTTGAACTAAAACACGAGTGTCTTTCTTGGTCGATTCAAACCAAGTCTACAACCGCAAGGCAATTGCTTTTTGCTTTTCGCATTGGATCGTTTGACAAAGTCTCAACGGTAACGGTCAGCGTCCCGAAACTATTCATCTATCGCTCACCATGCTATCAATGACGTATATATTGAAGCAACACTGCTTTATGCATCTTTGGCTGATTTGATACATGGTACCAAAGGGGGAGATGATACAGAGAGATGGGAATATCGAAGAGTGACATTTCACAAGTCTTCCGATGCCGCAGTCAACATGACACAGAGGCTTGTGGGAGCTCTTGTTCTGAATCTCTTTGTAGGAGGCGGTACGTGCAGAACACCGGAGATGGCTTCGGATCGTGCAAACACTCAGAGACCTGACAGTCACTGTAACCAAGAGATCGGAAGGTGATGACATTCTCAGAAAAGATGGAGGTGAAAAATTAGCAGTCAAGAAAGGATGTTGCTGAATTTGGTGAGCGTTAAGCCTCTATTTTGGAGCAGTTTTCAAGGGTCCTATGAAAGAAAACTACTCAACTGTATAAACATTTGCATTGATGGGTCCGTTTTGCTGCCTTGAATCAAAGTTCTGCACTCAGACGATACTGTGTCATCAATTGTGAATCTGCAGGTACAAACCAAAGTAACCATCCTGGCGTAATGATTGTCGTCGAAATGGGTTCTTCCATGAACTACATTTAAACCCTTCAGTCAGTAGTCAGTACTCGAAGGACTTCAGAATACCCATGCTCCAGCAATTTACAGCTTTTCCGTCATATCCAGATCTTCACATTAGGACCTCGGGAGCAGTATATTGTGGTGAGCCACAGAAAGATAAGTGTCTGATGAAGAAATTGATTCGTCCGCCGAGAGCCCAAAAATCACTCAGTTTCACATTATTTTGATGATCCAACAGTACTAAGAGAAATTTTATGTAAGCATAGGGAGGAGAACACAGACACTACGCGCTATGCACGTAACTATTATCTGGTTGGATGTCTCTGTGTACTAAGCCAAATTAGAGGACTGCTTCAGTGAGCTGACCAAACCAAATCACAGCTTGACTCTCATAGATTTTTCCATGTTGTTGCAACAAATCACACAAATCGCGCCAGCAACTTCACGTTATCCGAGATGGAAATCCAGCCGAAATTTCATTGCGTTGGAGAGCGCAATATGTAGAAAGCGCAGTAAGAACGCTTTCCGGAGGCCACATTCCAAACTCAGACGAACAGAATGACGGTATAATACACTTTATTTCTTGCAATCGTACACTAAAATGGTCAAGATAATATGTTGCAGGTGCTATATAAAAATACAAAGGAAAAGAGATAGCGAGAGAAGCAACAGACAAGGTAAAAATGCAACCAATCGTGTAGATGCAGAGGTGAACCCCCCGCCTCCGACGGTACTTGCGCTACCAACTCCTGAACCAGCATCGTTACCACAAGTTTTTCCAGACTCGATCGGATACGTCAGGTCAAAGTTTCCGCCTCCTAAATATATGATTGCTGCAGTTCCAGGTTGTAGTGTTACTTGATAAGCACCATTGTTCCCTCCCAGCACTTGAGCGAGGTATTGACCAACAGGGCGTCCATCACACGATCCATCGAATTTTTGATTTGCCAGCGTTCCTGATGAGTTGGCTGGGGCACCAGGAATCGGGGCAAGTACCTCTACTCTTCCTGTTCCAGTATCAGATATAGGTGACGTGGCCCCCAAAGTAAAGGAGACGGTGATGGGTGAGCCATCAGGATCTCGATGAATTATGATTACGGCACCACGCGCGGCTTGATGGTTTGCAACAGCCCAGATTTTGACTGCGTTATTCGTTGCGTCTGAGGATGATGGTTTTAATACAACCGCAGCACCAGTGTTACCTCTAGAGGGCAATCAGTTAGATTGGTTGTGTTCTCAATGCCCGAACGGTGCCAAAACCATCCAAAGCATATCAATACATACAAGACACGATTGAAGGCCAACATGGCTAGATACATAGGTCGTACTTCAGCATTCAAGCCCGAAGTAGTATTCCTGACAATAAACGGTGCACCGCGACCAATATTGCCAGTGATTGATGTCCCATTGACAAGTGCGCCTCCACCAAACCGTATACCACGTACTCCAGCCCAAGCCAAATAAAGCATCAAGTCCAATGCCCATAGACCAACTGAGAAGGATTCTGTTCCTACCGAAGAGGCTGCATCTAGGTTTGCACATTCCACTGGTCCAGCTTGAGACACTACAATATTGGCCTTGCTCGAGACCATCGATGCAAGGTAAGGATAACCAGCATCTGGTGGGTCTGCTAATAATCCTGTTGGTGACAAGTCAGGAGATTCATTATCCGCACAAGCGGATAGTGCATATTTATGGAAGGTGACCAGCCTAGTCGTATTCATCGTCGAGTTATTGGCTAGGAAGGGCAACACATCGTTTGGATCTCTAGCTGATGGTCCAGCAAACAAGGGCATTGGTACTGTCGGCAGTGTTGCTTCAATATCACTAGCCAAAGAGACATATTCTGCCAAGTAATCTGTATATCATTTGGCGTGGAGAATTTAACGTGAGTGACCTTGTGAACGTGATTTAGCAAATCATCCTCGTGATTCCACAAATCGCCAATCCCATTGATTTATAGTTTTCATGCACAGTACACATACCTGGGTTGTAATTCCAAGTCGCTGGACGGTAGCCCAAGGCAACCCAATTCTCTGGTTCACTACCCAACTCTAGACCTGCCAAGTTGGATAAAGCGACATTGGCCAATATCCCGTCTCTTGCTAATTCCACACTAGCAGTTCTGGTGGATGAGAGCATGGTGATTCCGGTTAATATGCGTACACCTGCGGCTGTTGCGACTCGATCTACTATCTGTATGCTTTTTGATGTCATGTTGACTGTCGCAGCAGCAGGTCGGGGAAGCACTGAAGAATTGTACCAGACGAGTTCAGCTAGGTGAAGACGAGTTAAATCCGGTGGACAGGACAACAGGGTTGTGAAAGTTGACATTTCTTACAAGAAGGACCACCGATCGACATTCCAGGTGGACCAGCCGAGTCTGCCAGGTTTTGCAACAATCGAAGTACTTGAACATTGAGGGTGCCGTCGTCCTTTGCGAATACAGCCTGGAAGTCACCCCAAGCGAATGAGAAACCAACAAAATCAGTTGGTATAGTTCTGGAGATGTTGGGTGACAGGCCTGGTGGGGCTGGTCCAGCTCCAGCAAAGGAGACATGGATTGTCATAGCATTTGTAGTACATATATAGGAGAGTAATAGCAATATAGTAACGACTAGGGTCTTTGGTGGTAGTTGCGATAGTCTTATTCTGACCCTCTTCCTGTAAGAGTGCCGATCTTGTACCATATCTACAAGTCCTAGTCGACAGTTATGAGGAACAGCGAGCCGGACGGGTTTCCTCCTTTACCTAGATCGCATGTGATGAACGTTGCTGTGGTGAGTTTTGACAACTAGTAGTGTAAGCGACAACGAGCGAATGCGGGAATACATTCCGGAATGCAGCGAGGATTGATCAATCGCGTATGGACAACTGTGTTTCCTACAAACAGTGCAAATGGCCATGGCAAACAAAACATTTTGCATTAACGATTGCATTGATGATGTCTCGTTAACGCAATCACTCAACAAGACGTGCTAGAGACGGAACTGGACCAAGACGCTAGCACCACTCACTTGCTCGTCTCGGCTCCCGTTCCTTGACAAATCTGTACATGTAATGCTTCGATACAAGCTGGGCGGAGTGTTGCCTTCCCTTTTTTTCGCTAACGGCTTTTGCCTGTTCACGAATCAAAAAAAGCTCACAAATCAGTCACAGTGAGTTCGTAGGCTGCACGATGCACCAATAGCTCCCATCGATACTCCTCATCATATACACCCCATATTTGGCACACAATTCGGGAATGAACCGTCTGGTTTCGAGAAAGGCTACACATTTGCTTGCTTGGCTGCTCCTGCTTGCATCCTTGGCCAAATCGCAGTCCGTAGACACCGGAGCATGGCAAGTTATCGGAATCTCTCCCGTAGTCTGCTTACATCTAAGTCTCTTGCCTGGCAATCGTCTGCTGTGTCAGGAACGACCTCACGTCGCTCCTTACGCCCCAAATCCGTACACCTACAGTACTCAGGTAATCAAACAAACTATTTTCGTCTACGAATTCCACAACTGGAAGCACTTCCTTCCGAACATGCTCTTATTCGCAACGTCAAGTGTTAATCTCGCCCCTTGCCACACTAGTATCAACGTGTGGAAACTACGGCCGAAATAAACCTCAACGGCAATCAAACTTCTTATTTTCTGCACCATATAAATCGTAATCCATTCTGTAACGGAGCTGCCCAAGCTGCTGATGGAAGCATAGCGGTAGTTGGTGGTGACATTTACCAAGTACAACAGAAGGACGGCACCTTCTATATTGCTGATGGCCGAAAGGCCCTTAGGAACTTTGTACCGGGATGTCCTAATACTGCTAATGCCTCTACTTGCACAACTGGTCTCTGGGAAGACGTCGGATCCATGACAACCGCCAGATGGTATCCTACTGTAGCTACATTAGGTGATGGTAGCAATATTATAGTCTCTGGCAGTACAGACAATCTGGACCTGACGAACTGGAACAATCTAACTAAACTAAATCCCACATACGAATTCTATCCATCACGAGGTGCTCCTCAGACTCTATCTATATTAGCTGACACCTTCCCGTTTAACTTGTATCCACTGGTCTTCCAACTTCCAAGTGGACGAGTTTGGGTCTTCTCTGGAACAAAATCTGCTATAATCACCCTTGCTACAAATGCAATCGATTTAACTTCCATCCCTATATTGGATCCACCAACCAACAGACCTCATATATATCCCTTCACTCCGACCGCTCTAGTGTTACCAATGACTATCGCCAATAACCATGAATTCCGTGTAATGATATGCGGTGGTGTACAACGAACTAGCAAGGCCTCTAATTTAACAACGCCTGCGGCAAATGAGCTGGATCCAAGTGACGATTGCTATCAAATAGTCCCGGAGCCTACTGATGGCACTGCAGCCGTCTGGACACGAGTTGACAAGATGCCTATTGGTCGGGTGATGCCGGATGTTGTTTTGACACCAGGTAAGCACCTTACAGATGAACTTTTGCAATCGTCAAACTCCTCCCGAAGTATCAGTGTGCCGAGCATTGATTTTGTCCTTAAAGTCTACCAGAGCTAATCCGCATATTTTTAAATCAATAGATGGTAAAGCTGTATATGTAAATGGTGCTGGATATGGATTCGCAGGAGGTGCTGCTGGCTGGGGTTGTTCCTACAACCCCAGATACCAAGCTGATGTCTTTGACCCTCTTGGCCCAATTGGAGGAAGATTCTCAACTTTGGCCTCGGCCACAGTTGATCGAATGTATCATAGTACAGCGTTGCTTTTGCCCGACGGACGTGTCCTGACGGCTGGATCGGAAGAACAGAACTGGAATGACATAAATACGTTTGGTGTATCTGCAACAGATCCAACTTTTGCCAACTGTACTGTTGGAGGAGCCACACGTAGATGTACTGATCCCTTCGAATATCGTTTGGAAGCATTCTCGCCACCCTACCTCTTTAAAGGAGCTCGACCGAGCATCACGTATGCTCCTCTCACTGTCACATATAATAGTACGTTTTACGTAGGAGTGAATGACACGACTGTGTCGTCCTTTTCCTTTATAAGATATACTTCCGTAACACATTCCACCAACACCGACCAACGATTTTGGGAATTAGTAATAGTATCTAGGAACTCGACGGGTGTCCTTCTTCAGGCACCTTTTAACCCCAACGTTGCAGCGCCAGGCAACTGGATGTTATTTGCTGTGGCAAACGGAATCCCTTCTGTATCCGCCACGGTCTTGCTAAGCAACGGCCCAGCAGTAGTAGGAACGATTGTACCAGATACTATTCTGCCTAAGGCCAACCTGTACTCGGGAGCTGGTCACTCTGTAAGGGCGACTGCTGACGTGGCAGTAATGTTGGCCCTGTTGATCATGGCAATGGTCGTGTAATTTATATTTTAGAAGCATACTGGTTCGCATCGTCATTTAGAAAAGTAGAGAAATGGGACAATGGTAGTTGTAAAGGAGGAAAAAGGAGTATTTGTGTAGAGTGTATTTGTGGGGCTTTTCTTCTATTTAAACAGTTCTTGATGCCAATAAAAATGTAGTTAGAAGTAGAATGTTTTTGTTACCATTTAAGTTCTGGTGTTGGTTTTTTGAGCTCAGCAGCTACTGAAACAAAACTCATCACACCTCTCTGGGGCTTATACATCAATTGACCAGAAAGAAGAGGAGTATGCTCCTGTGGTCACTGTCGATTGAATAGGCCGAAAACGTTAGAGGTTTGCTCCAGCCATATCTGCGAAGGAACTTGTTACAACCACTGACAATCCGTACCAAAGTCGAGGATGGTTGGAACTGATGCAAACTTATCGTTTTCTACGCATGTACTATCTGATGAGCTCACTGCCTCCCTCAGTGCAGCACTGAGGCAAGTTTCCGCCCGTCATCAAGTGTTCACGATTCTTACAATCTAACCACATGCACCCGCAGGTCCGAAGTTTGCATCCAGCTTGTTGCTGGAGGTGTTGCCGGTGCAGCTTCACGAACTGTAGTTTCTCCTCTGGAACGAACCAGTAAGGATGTGATTCAAGTCCCGACAACTTAAAGCCCCAGCTATAATTCTACTGGACGCTTGATTTTGTTATAATCGAACTGGTTTCGTTAGAGATTCTGTTTCAGGTTCAAGTGACGAATGGACTCTCTACGTCGTATTCGGGAATTACATCAACGTTGAGGCAAATTTATAACGCTGAAGGCCTAATGGGGTTCTTCAGGGGCAACGGAACAAATGGTAAGCTCAAAGACTCGGTTGGTCTTCAGCTGTGCTTGCTTTCCAATGCTTGTTCCTATAGTTATTCGAATGGTCCCGTATTCAGCGATTCAGTTTGGCACCTTTGAATACCTTCGAAAAGTGCTGAGGAGGCCTGGCGAGAAGGATTTGTTGACATCTCAGGCTCTTATAGCTGGAGCTATATCCGGAACCGCATCAGTGGTAGCCACTTACCCACTAGACCTCATTCGCACAAGATTGTCTGTTGCAGATGCAATCTTCATATCCAACGCTAAGGGCAACACAACGAGGCCCCAAAGGCCCACTATCATGGCAATGTAAGTTTCGCGTGACAAGCTAGGCATTAAGAGAATTCCGCAACTTCAGGACTAAGTTGCTCGCTGCAGGGCCAAAAAGATAATTCGGAGTGAAGGCGGAGTTCTGGCTCTTTATAGAGGGCTGGTACCCACTTGTATGTCTATTGCTCCGTTTGTATCCGTCAAGTAAGTTGTTGAACGTACTATCTGGAAGTTCGCAACTGTGCAGACTGAAATCCTAACTTGCCCGCCATTGCCTTTAGTTTCGTGTCCTATCACTTCTTGAAAGAAAATATCTCACTAGAAAGGTCTCCTTTGGCAAAGAGCATAATATTGCTGGGGTGCGGAGCACTTTCAGGCGGTTTCGCGCAAACTGTGACGCATCCGTTTGATGTTTTGAGGAAACGAATGCAAGTGACTCACATGCCGGGTATTCCATACAAGTACACGTCCACGTTGGATGCCATATCAACAATGCTTCGCATTGAGGGACCAAAGTCCTTCTACAAGGGTAACAGATCAGTCTATGATGGAATTGATGAATCGATGGTGTTAACCACGAGTTTATAGGCCTAATTCCGAATTACTTGAAGATTGTACCTGCTAGCGCTGTGTTATTCAGCAGGTATTTCGAAAATTTTGTGATTGCTGAAATATCTGCCTCACCGTTTGCTTCGACCTTTTTAGCTACGAGATGACGCGTGATTTGATGTCAATACTATAATGGCTGCCTCATCGTTTGTTTCGACACGTGTCAAAGCAATCCTCTGATTTTGTGACCTCTGATGCTCTGCTGTCTCCGCTTTTGAACGATTAATGTAGAAGGAAGCTGATAGATTAATGAATTAATGATCAATGTAATTTACAATATAAAATTTCGCATCAAATTCCATAGTTGCTTTCGTCAAAATCCAAAAACCACAACAAAACAAGATGTCGAAGAAGGCCCCCACCACAAGGGGCGGTTCTGCACCTCCAGAACAACCGTCATCTCAGATACAACAACAGCAAATTCTTTTACTGCAAAAGCTATGGACTTCATACTCTCAAACCACCCCACAACGCCTGAAGTTGGTTGATGCTTGGTTGATATTTGTGATGCTGACAGGAGTCATTCAATTTGTATATGTCATTCTGGCTGGAACCTATCCTTACAATGCCTTTCTATCTGGATTTTGTGCTAGTGTTGGAAGTTTTGTTCTCGCAGGTACAATGGGTGAACATCAATCAAGCTGTGGTTTACTAGAACTAACAAAAGCATCACCGTTTTGCAGCCAATCTCAGGATACAATCAAATCCTAAAAATGCAGAAGAATTCGGAAACCAAAGTCCTGAAAGGTTGACTACATAATGATATCTAGAATTCTTGTAACAAGACTGATCTAACTTGTTCGCTCTCCTTTCGCAGGTCTTTTGCAGACTTTGTCTTCCTCTCAATCGTCCTGTATGGATTTGTAATCAACTTTATTGGATGAACTGTATATTTACTTTGTCAAGAAACGGTTGCCGACATGCACCCAAAACGACCAATCTTGTTAGAAACGTTCAAATCCCTCCTCATTCTTGCCAACTACTCTACTGAACGAGTAACGGTCTGTGCGGCACATAACAATGACCAAAATGGACATGACAGCTCTGTGAAGGAACAAGAGCAACGCAGCAACACCACCAACTTCACCCAACCAGTTGTTCTATGTAAATCAAGCACAATCAGATTCACGTTGGAGTTGTACGAGAACTCAGATTCACTTACCGCATCCAAGGGGAAGAAGGTTCGCTCGTAGACGTATTCCAAACGTGGGTATCGGAACTCCATCTCGAATGGCATAATGTTAGAGCCTCCAAGGACAGTGTTGACATTCAAGTCGAGGTGAGTGGCCTTCGACTCATAGTCGACTGTGACGGTATCATTCAAGTCGATACGGTATATCTTTCTAGATAGCAGACATGTTGATTTAGCATATCTTAGAAATCTTCGAAGGACAAACAAAGACCGTTACAACAGCAGCAACACCAACCTGAGAGACCCCTCGGTCAGTGTATAGGCTGAAGCCGCAAAATACGAGTCAAAATCCATGCGATTTTCTCCTTGACCATGAGCATTCACAAGGACTCCACTGGCACCACCAACTGATACATTGGAGACATGTGCAGCAATAAAGAGGACATCGGCCTCGGTGTTAGCGGACATGATCATTCCAGGAATGTCATTGATGGCGATACAGGTTTGATTGACGCCATCAAAGGTAGTGTTTTTGATGTAGATACCAGTAGAATCACAATTGGTGGTAGTTGTCGCATTGGCTACGTAGCAAGTGGTGATACTGACAATTGAGCCAGCAGTTTCAGGGCAGATGGTGAGTGCTGGGAATTCAAAGGTTTGAGCAGGGACTTTATCAGGGAAGATTCTCGTCATGAATTCGTATGGGAGGGAACGCGGAGGTGTGGTGGTGGTAAACGTGGCTGGAAGTTGGGTAGCAGCTCTTTGACCTCTGAATCCTGCATAGAGAACCATCACGCACACGAAGAGAGTTCCAACAAATCCAGAAAGTGCATTGTGGACATTTTGTCCTCGGCTGTTCAATACACGACCTACAAATTTTTGATCAGAGCTCAATCGATAAAATATTGTCAACAACGAAATCAAACAACTCACTCATTTCGTTTATTATCTATCTAGCAATTGTTTCTCTGAGTATTCACGGTTTTGTCGCGTGTATCAAAGAAAGCCTTTATCTAAGGAAATATGAATCACGTACCCTAAAAAAGTTCCGGAGAATTCAGGAATATTGCTGAAAAATGTCTTGGCATCGATTCGCCTCTGAATACATCTCAGGACGGATCCATGTTTCCTTCACGATAAACAGGGTTCTCTGGTCTTTGGACTAGGTTATTTTATTTCACAGGTGAATAATATAAAGTGTAGAAGTAAGGTTTAGGCTCAGTTAGACTCAGTATCCATACTCGGCTATATGTTCCATAACCGCCATATCAATTTCGTCTGCATCGTCGTCCTTCATATTGGGTCGTCGTGAAACAAGAGGAGGATACATTCGTGCTCCTCGCTTGGCAGCCATGTAATAGAGGTTGGTGTACGTTTTAATATATCGACGTAAAAGAGCCCAAGCTGTCCATCTTTTGGCGTAGTACATCTATAGGTGAAATAGAACTGTGAGCACTCTGGATTCTTATCAGCGGCCTGTTGTGCTGAGATGAAACTTACGATTCGAGGCCATTTTTGCAATGTCGATATAATGACATCTCGACGGAGAAGATGAACTGTGACTGACGTAAGAGCTCGGCACTCTGTCGTCTTGATCTGCTCTCGCAGTACTGTTCTGCCGAAAATGTCTCCTCTGCAAGAAAGATTTAGAGTGAGTTTCCCAAACAGATTTCACGTTCGTGTTCAGATGGCTTTTGACGAATCAACCTACGATCTATATATTCGACCTTCACTAGCACAAATTCCGTGAGCGAGATAGTAAATGCCTTCGTAACCTTCAGAAAAGATGGCAGAATTGGCAGGGTACGAGACGATATCTATGCCACGACAGAGATCTTGTATCATGATTGGCTCACGGTCAATGAATGGTTCGATATAGGGGATTTCCTCCAAGAAAGGGACAAACATTTCCATTGTAATAAAGCCATGTAATTGCATAGGGAGTCCTTTCAGCAAAGTTGTATAGCCAGACGTAACAGATGTAGCAAAGGAGTCAGTAAGGTATTCATGGACTTTGCGTTTGAGTCTCTTGTCCAGTTTCAGTCGATCAAACATTTCCATGTAAGAATCCACACGTATTTCATGATCTCGTTGAGTCTTGTTCGTGGCTCCGAGGACGTCCACCAGTGTTGCGATAAAGTACATGGCGATGACGAAAGCCATAACGTTTGCGAATAGAGCATAACCAAGTTCTCGAAGACATTGTGGTGCCATAACCGACCAGGAAGGACCAACCAAAGATATAGTAGACGAAGACCAGTATACAGCTGCAACATATAACTGCCACATGTCCGCTGTGGTTTGGTTTGTGGCGATTGCGTATCGGTCATTCCATCCAGGAATATCATCTGCATTGTTTGCTGTGGCTGCTAATCGATATCCACATCCAATCCAATGCACAATAAATATCAGACTGATGAAGAACTAGATAGAAAGTATTTGTAGTAAGATGCAACAGTCTTTGGGTTCATGGCTTCGACCAATCCGATTCAAGCGGAATCAGGAATGAAAAGAAACACAAGCACAAGGGAAGCGTACCTTCCAAAGTTCAAGTGTAGCATATCGAGCATTTATGTACATTTGCCATTGTTTCAGCTTTTTGGAAGCTCTCAGGACTCGAAGCAGTTTCAACAATCTGGCCAATCTCAAGAAACGTAGCAGTCTTAGTTTAGACAGATCGGAAGCAGCACCAGTTGTACCAGAGTCCGAGGTTCCGAGCGAAAATACGTCAAACGGTATAATAGAGACCAAATCGATGAGAAACCAGGACTTGAGGTATTTCAGAAATAAGGTTTTTTCGTCACGTATATACTGTCCGGTACGTTCATCACGTTTAGCAGTTCGAATCTGGATTAACATATCACAGAAAAAGGCGGCATCGACGAGACGATTGATGAGGAAGAGAAGGTCTATGCTTTCATCGGGACTAAAACTGGCTTGAAAGGGAGTGACGATGGCGGTAAATAGCAGCAAACTCATGGACAAGGCATCCCACTTCTTCAGAAATGGACTACCAGTGTCCATGACAGGAAACCATGAATTACGTTCCGACCAAATAACCAGTGGTTCACGATCTCGTCGGTGATCTACGAGGTAGTCAGGGAGACCCAACTTGTTTGCATTTACTACACGCCATTTGGTTCTACCGTTACGTCTAACCTCCTCAATATGTGCTCCCGGTGGAACAACAAGTTGGTCTGGTTCGTCGTCGGGTACTAGAATACCAACCTTGTAGACAAATCTCTCGTAGGGAGTCCATTCGGCTCGGGTGACTTTCTGCAAGGTTGCTGCAGGTGGTACGGCGATAATATTATCTGTTGAATTTCCTCGACCAGGTGAAAGGACTCCAGGAGACATCATTCCGTTATTAGGAGACATCATTCCATTGGGAGACATCATTCCATTAGGAGACATCATTCCATTGGGAGACATCATTCCGTTATGTGGTAGAGATGTATTTCCTCCTAGACCAGACAATGCGGCAGCTCCTCGACTGCGGGTGGTTTGAGCATGAGCTGTCATGATGGCAGCCATATCGGTTGTAGGCGGATTCTCATCAGGGTAGACTCGCCGTCGGTCATTATGAACAGGGCCGTTATAAATAGGACCAGAGCCTAAGGCACCTAGACCGCTGCCGTTTGAAATGGGACCAGATCCTAAAGCTCCAAGACCACTGTTCAAAGGTCCAGATCCTAGATTACCAAGTCCACCACCATTATTGTATATTGGGCCAGATCCAAGATTTCCAAGACCGGAGCCTCCATTTCCGAAACCAGACGTGTTGTATCCTATACATTGAGCAATGATTTTCCATCAGTACGTGTGTTTTGTGATTGAGTTAGATGTCTCGTAGTATTCTGCTGGATGAGGAAGGCGAGATCTAACCAGACTGAATGCAAAAAGGAAGAAATCAACGACTACGCAGCTGTCTCACCAGTAACTGAAGGTCGATGGTTCTCATTGAAGGGAGAAGACGAAGTTCCAGTGTCGCCTGCAGTAGGTCTACTTCTCAATACAGGTGAAGCGGTTACCGGAGTCGCGTTCAATGGAGGTAGAGCTAGTTGGACCATTTCTTGATCGTCGACTTGTCGTGATCTAACCGGAATTGCCGGCTGCAAACCCGGAACAGTTCGGCGTGGGATGTCGCTCTCTGAGGGGCGCTGACTATCCATGGTATTATCAGCTCCACTGGAGGAGATGGAGAAGAGTGGTACTTGAGTGCAGCAACTTTGGATGAAAAGTGAAAAATCTCCGAAATGTCCAATATGGAAAGTCAGGAAGATGAATTTTGAGTGGTATTTCAGCTACTTGAAGCCTAGACAGGATGATGTGAGGGTTTGAGTGTGACTAGTCGCAAATACATTATTAAATGGTTGATGGTAGAAGCAAAGTCAAAAAACTTGACAATGAGGGAGGTCGACACGCGCCGTAATATTTGATGCATGAGTGGATAATACAGACCTGAACTTACTAGATCAAGGCTATTTGCATGTCGGTAGTTTGTCCTGACGCCCAACAAATCCAAAGAAACGCGAGATTCCAAGCTTGCCGAGGTGATTACAGTAGCAATGGCAGCCAGAAGAAGACGACAAGGCCCTCCACAGGCTCTTGCGCCTCCAGGACCCGCAGATACTCGTCATATACCTCCTCGTCCAGGCACCATGTCTGTTCTGTCACGACTTGGATTGCCAACAGCATCTTCAACGTCTGGAGGAGGTCCCTCTGCTCCAATAGATAGAGATGGCGACTTGATGATGGGCGGCGCTCCCAACACCGGCTCCTCCTCAAAGAGATTGTAAGTCTTTGCCACACATTAACCGAAACATCAACCAATTCATCGTTGTCTCTCGTCTTGTCGAATGAACATGATGCCAATGGGGACAAAGTAACTGTATTCGTCTGATTTCATTGCTTAAGTCGAAATACTTGACTTGCACCAACTGTCTCCTTCGGTTCTACATGAATTTCAACTTTTTCTCGTCGTGTCCAGTCACTCTTTGCGCATTTTATTAAAACATTCCTTTACAATCTACCTCCTTTAGTACACCATATGGAAAGAAAGGAATACGTCGAGTCAATCAACCTCCAAGAATACAAGTCGCTAATGGTCCACCACTCGCTGTAGCTGTGAGATACAATCCTCTTGCTGCAACGATGCCTTTCAGTCGAAATCGCTTTGCTAACTTTCATCCCATCCATCTAGCTGACAGGCCATACTGGTGGAGCAGAAGAAGCTCTACTGCGTTTTGTAAAAAATAGAGCCGACGCCGACGCAGAGGTGGTCATGTCAGATGTAAGCTGAACCCCTTTACCCCTCTGGCTGTAATATGGCATATTGACGCCTCCCTCGTCTTGATACATACAGATTCGCCATGATGGCAAAACAATGTACTTTCACGTCAGGAATCAGACAGAGTTTGACGTACTCAAAAAGTTGAATGGAATACGTTTTGCTGGTGATAAGGTAAGACGCTTCTACTTGAACCTTCCACTATCAGGAATCTCACTCTTGTTCGTGTCCAGCTACTTTTCAGAACTGTCGATTCCTTGGCCCCAAGAGCTCAAACACAACCTGGTCAACATATTGCACTGTTGGCACAAGTAGTACGGTCGAGATACAATGCAGAGGCTCTGTTTCTCGACTTGTCCAACATAGATGTAGACCCCACTCTAGTGCAGGCGGGACTGTCAGAACATCGAGCTGAGAGCTCCAAGATTTGGCCAGTGATATGTAAACTCATAGGCGAAAGTTGCCCTCAAGTACAGACTATATCATTCGCATCCAACAAATTCCGAACTCTGGAACCAGTCTCGAAACTACCAGAGTACGTGCCCAATATAGCGGCTCTATCATTTGAGAATAATCCGATCGATCGTTACCGAGACCTGGAGTTCTTAAAAGGTGCCGATCTGAAATCACTCCGAGAAGTCTGCTTTTTGGAAACTCCTTTACGAAAAAAAGAGCTGGCATCATCTGGTGGAGATCTCAAATATCGAAGGTAACAAAAATGTTGCCAACTTTATGCACTTTGCTCTGGCAGATATTTCTGCTACCAATATCTAATCCTGCACAACCATTCCAATAGTAAAATCACTGCCATCTTTCCAACCATCAACATGTTGGATACACAGCCAATTCTCTCTGAAATCTCCTTTGACACTGCAGATTCTGAAGGGTCACAACTACCTATAAAGCCGGGATTCTTTGATTCGGAAAACACGCAAAATGCAGCAAATGACTTTTTGCAACGTTTTTACCATCTACTCGATAACAACCGTAATGGATTGGTGGACTTGTATGACGATACAGCTGCCTTCTCGTATGCTATAGATGATTCGCCTCCTCCAACATCAGTTCAGCCGAATAGAAAGAGCAATTGGGGTGCCTGGAATGCCAACAATCGAAATCTTCGAAAGGACACGAATCCAGGTCAGCATTCTGATGGCAGAGGCATGATTTGCCTACAAATGGCACAGATCCAATCAACCATCACGCTTATAAGATTATACCATTTGACACACCCTCTACTCTTTCAAAACAGAAAAACGAGTCAATCTGATTCACTTTGGCTCTGCTTCCATCATGGGGGTTTTGTCAAGAGTACCTCAAACAAAGCATGATCCTACGAAATGGCTGGTAGACGCGTTTCAGACATCAAGTCCAGTGATGCTCTTTTTAACTATACATGGAGAACTGGAAGAAGGTAAAAGCCACAGTTGCTTTTATGTCCGTTCCTGATAAAATTATTCATCTCTCACAATCATCAATCAGTTTCAAATGCATGGAAACGAAGCTTTGATCGAGTATTTGTCATAATCCCCGCAGCTAGTGGATCTAGAGCTGCAAATGCTGGCTTTCCATATGTCATCATGAATGACCAATGGACGATTCGAACATGGCGAGCAAATCCTTCTTGGAAGAGCGTCGTAGCCCGCCAACCACCACATGTTACCACGTCAGTACCACCACCTATAGCAGGACCAATAGTACCCGTAGTGTCTGCAATGACAATGGCGTCGCCTGGAATTTTGGCCCATCGCGCCCAGTATGGCATAGTAAGTTTCCAGCCTCTTGCTTCCAAACGTTTAAAATGCATTCATCTTTTCTTTTAACAATGTAGACTGACCCTCAGCATAATGTGGTTGTGACGCTGGCATCACAAACGGGTCTCAACTACCAGTTCGCCTGGCAGTGTCTAGTTGAAACAGGATGGGATATGGCACGAGCTGTGGAGGCGTTTACAAAGATGAGAGCCGACATTCCTTCTGAGGCTTTTGATCCCATATAAAGTCATTCAATGCTTGTTGTAAAAAAGCAAACTGCACAAACATGCTTGAAGTTACTTGTATATTCTAAAAAGAAGCTTATTATTTCTCATTGATTGATTGCATCTATTGATTGCGCCCGTTGTGCTATTGCTATTACTGCATATTTTTACAGTGGTTTACAGCTACTATTTTAAATACGCTAAAATACACTACCTAACGCCTCAAACCAGGATAAAAGGTTTGGGTCAGCCTCTACAACCTTCTGGAATTGTTCAAAGTCCATCTTGTCTTCCGTAGCGAGACCAGCAGCACCAAATGTCCTTTCGACCATTTCTTCGATTGCATCTTGCGACATGGCCTCCATGACAGGCCAGTGTTCCGACGTAGACCCATTCTGGTTGTTGAAATGAGCTATACGATCTGGCTCAGGTGAGCGATACGAGTCGACTCGAGGGACCATTGTATTCAAGGCACTATGGGGTGTATACAAGGGCGTAGTGACAAATGGAGAAGTGGCGGATGAAGTGAATAACGACGGATCTAGAGGAGGCGGCAGATGTTCTGTTACTAGACCCGAGACCAATACGTTTCTTCGTCTTGCTGTTGTCGCATATTGTTCAGGGACTGGAGATGCCGATAATGGCCGTCTACTAGGTTCGTGAATGCGTTCTGTATCTCCTGCTATTATGGGGCTATCTGCTGATGATGGCTGTATTATAGATGACTGGTAGGCTGATGTCGACGGAGACACTCTCGACCTTGCCGTCGAGCTAGGTCCACCAGACCTAACATTGCTAGTATAAGAGACTCTATTACGGCTAGTACTCCGGTGTACTTGGATACTAGTAGATAGACTGCCCTCGTTATTATTCAGTCTAGACTCTGTGTTTGTGTTTTGATGGTTACTACTTCCAGCTTCACCATGATTTGAATGATCATACTCTGATTTACTGCTGGGAGCTGGCTCCTCGTCATTATTGTGGTTTGATGACGGTATGGGAGCAGCGAAGGCCGCTGATACGGGTTTTGCGGCTTCGTCGTCAAACGACTCCATCATGCCCTCCTCCATAGTCTTGACTACATCTCGTACGAGTTCCATGGAGAGATGGAAGTAGGCCTTAAACATTCTGTGCAGCTCTGATCGTGATATAAAGCCATCGCCATCCAAGTCATAACCATGGAAGGCATGCTTGATACGCTCGTCCAGACTTCCTTTACATAAGATGGAGAGTCCACATACTAGCTCTGAGAAGGATATTATATCGTCACTATTTTGGTCAAAGAAGCTAAATATCCTGTCGGTAACGAGATTTTTCTCGACACCCAAGGGACCTAAGCAAGCTTCGAATATTTCCTTTGTAATTCCGCCCTCCGGAGCAGTTGAGAGAGACTTGAATTGCTCGTAAAAGGCCTCCAATTCCACCTGATCAACTATTTTGGAGATTGTATTAGTACCAGAGTCTTGCAACCTCACAAATTTGATGATTGCAACATACAGTGAGTCTTTTTCTGTAATACTCGCAAATCATCCCAGCTTAGATTCTGCGGTGCCCCTTCTTTTCCAGGGTAGAAGGCAGTCAAGAGAGCTGTTCTTGGATTTGCTAATGGGGGTATTGGTATTCGAATTTTCAAAAAGACGTGTGTTTTGGGATGGACTTCCTGCGCCTCGCAAGATTCGCATAAATCATAATCCAAGCAATCTAGGGAGAAAGCGGAGTTAGTCGGTTCCTCTTTGAGTTTATAAAAACAAAAATCACGTACTAGCACACTTGTATCGAAAGCCACGGATGGGACTAGTTCCACAGTGATTGCATGTAATAGATCGGTGTACAAAACCATCTAAAGTCAAGGAAATGAATGTTGGTTTGTCGGACCGAGAAAAGAAGATGGGTGTGTTGTATGTTTGGTACGAGTACCTTTACGAGCCTGATCTTCAGCGATAGAATATAGCAAATTGAGTAAATTTCTGCTCTCGTCGGACTGAGTGTCATTGTCTATAGAGTCACCCGTGGCGGCATCAGCGAATAAATGTTGAGGAGGTGATGATGACGATGACGTGTCGATATGGTCGTGGTCGGGAGGAGATTGGGAGACTCTTGACTGGCGGGGCTTCTTTCGTTTAATCTTTGGAGAAGGCTGTATAGGGAGTAGCTGGATTTGGTTGTTTGCATACGAGTTTGTGGTGACGATCGAGAGGATGAGAGCTATACTGGAGACAGATACAAGTGCGACTGTGACGTTCTGCCATGTCCAAGACGGAGCACCTGAGTTGCTAGCCTCCATTCTTCGAGTTTGGTAATCAATTAGGACGGCTGTCGTGTCGAGCAGATGCAGATATATCAAACCAGCAAGAGGAGAGGGCAGCGAGACAAGATACTTGCTAGTTCCTATATTCACGTGTTTCGACGCGGATTAAAGCAGCACCAGACACTCGAGTGGCAAAGTCCGAGCTTCTTGCTTTCCTTCATTCATTTTCCTCCTAGGACATATTACTTGGACTGCAACAACCCAGGTTTTGGCTACCTCGCATCGCAATAAGGATGGCTGGCATGCTTCATGTGCTGATGCTGGTGGTCCTGCTCCTGTCCGCACAATTAGCTTTGGGACTCACCGTCAATGTCGACTTGGCTCTAAATGCTGACGGCTCACTCGCAAGCCTCATCGACCAGTACAGCAACCCCGTAGATGCTGAATTCATGTGCTTGTCTATAGAATGGAACCATCTGCCGGAAGGCTTCTTGCTCTATGCCCAGGGCAAACCAACCGGAAACCTCAACACTTATAGCTTAAACCTCATCAAAAACCTCGCCGCAGGTGTCAAATATCAGGGCTCTCCTACTCTCAGAGTCGGCGGAAACAGTGCCACCCTCATGTGGTGGTCAAGATCTACCCTGTTACGACCAACTACAGCAAACCTCACTGTAGCTCCAATATCTCTAGGACTTATAGACCGCATAGCTTCCGCAACTCAATCTAGAGTAGTCCCTGATATATCCATGCTTTTACAAGATCCTGTAGCCGCCTCCGAATTCGTAAGGGATGGAATCCTATCAAACGTAAACTATAAAAATTTGCTAGCCATAGAACTGGGCAATGAACCCGAATTGTGGATTAAAAAAGCATTCCGTACTGGTAACTGGAGCTATACAACAGACTATCTCACGGAATTCCTGTCATACACCACAAGGATTACCAACGACGTACAAACAATCCCAAAAACCTACTTTTGGGGTCCTGCAATGTCTACCAATGGTAATCTCACCTCGTTTATATCTTCAAATCAAGCTGCTGTAAGTGGCCTTACCTTCCATCGATATGCCTTGTCGGGATGCACGGACGATGTCAGACTTGTAAATGTCCCCTTATTGTTACTGGATCCACAGCCGAATAGTTATGCATTCTTAAAGGCTGCTATAAATCTTACAAACGCAGAAGGTGCTCTAACAGGCCAAGATCCGAAAAGACTCATTGCCGGTGAAATAAACTCGGTTTCTTGTGGTGGTGCTGACGGCGTGTCGAACGTATTTGGAGCCGCTATATGGGGGTTGGATAACTTTCTGACTCTGGCAAATCTCAATGTTTACAAGGTCTGTGTACACGGTGTACAGGGAGACTTTAAAACAAACTCAACCGCCGACCACTCGTATGCACCATGGGTAACTGATCTGCACGCAAATGTAGTACACGTCAGACCTGTATATTACTCCATGCTCCTGTTTAATCGTATAATGGGCTCCGCAAACTCGACCGTAAGACCGCTAGCATTCACCATAGCTGATTCCTCGGGCATCACCAACGCCACGGCTACTCCCAATGTAAAGATATGGCTCGTACATACCGTCTCTGGTTACAATGTAGTGATTCTCCACAAGGATTTGAGTCTCCCCGCCGTCAACCTAGTAATAAACGCCGCATCCATTCCATTTGACACGGGATTCGCCGTTGTGGAACGAATGACTGCACCTAGCGTATACAGTAGAACAGGTATAACTATTTCCGGTATGTCGTTAGATGAATCTTCCGATGGAAGACCTGTAGGAACTTGGCAACCTGAGACAATCGCATCAGCCGATGGAGGTATATATCGAATAACCGTAAACACTGGATCCGTCGCTGTATTGTATTTAGGTGGTAGTGGGCCGTCCTCCCCAATTGGAATGGCATCTTCAGCTAATGAGAGGCATAGTCGAATAATGCCGTTGGTGGTGCTGATGGTCGTTGGTTTGATAACGTTTATATAATCTAGTTTTAGTTGAGATGACTTAAGGGTAAATTTTATACAACCTCGCGTAAATACATCACCAAATATCTATACAAAATCGCTATCGTTTACATGCTGCCAAAGTTTAATTTGGTTGGTTGGGGCACGACACGCAAACAGTATAACGGAGCACAGTATAACGTTTCATTGTTTTATCGAAAAGAAGAAGTGATAAAATAGTGGCAGAAGTGTCTGAGGCTAGAGGTCTAAAGTTTACTATTTACATTAATTTTTGGTAACTTTCTATGTTAGGCAGCCGTCGGAAGCCTAAAGGCCAAATTTCTAAGTGATGTTGCAGTAACAGTAGAGTCCTTTTCTCTACAGAATCCGAGCGATAGAGCTAGATTGGGTGTTGCCACATTGTCCTTTGAAGTCCACCTGAAGTTGAAAACCAATTAGTAAAGAATAAAAACTACACGCTAAATAGCCAACTCCACGAACTCACGAAGGTTCAGCTATAGTATCCCCATCCCAAGCATTTAGTTCTCCTCGCTCTCCTAAGCAGCTCACGAGCACTTCAGGTTCGTTGACAATAATGTCTTGAGCCTCGGCTTGACTAAAAGCAGTAATCAAAATCGGCATGTCTAGCTGTGCGGCTCGAAATGTCGATATCATCATTTTGATTCGAAGCAGATGCTTGATCTAAGAATGTTTTAACGTCAGATTGTGCCATGTGAAAGGCTTCGTTTCGTTTTGCTTGAAACTTACTTTAACAGATGGCAAGTTGGTATCCGGATTGGTTCTGGGAGGAATAGCTATTACCAAAGTATTTGAGTTCACGTGTGAATCTTTGAAAGGTCTAAGTTGACATCAAACATCACTTACGTATTTGAAACCATATGCCTTCTTTGATATTGCTTCCACCGTGCCATTCCGACAACACTTCATTTGCATCTCTCTTCACCGTTTGGTTCTTATTATCAACACGTAAGCACCTTTGCTCCACAATTTGCACTGATAACCAACGAACGAGGGTACCGCGTAATGATCCAGCGGAAATGAATCCATGCAGCATGTCATTGGGACAAAGCACGGTTCTTGCTACTTGAAGAGTGTACCATAAATGTCTGTCTGACTTTATATGTGTTTTGGCTGTGTTCACAAGAGACAATACTCTTGGAATTAATGCAGGGTGAAATTGTCGAAGCGGTATTATGACTTTTGCGGTCTTTTTAAATTGAAGGGATGCAATGTATTTTGAGATTGATAGCATCTGTCCATTCTTGTTGTTTTCGTCTTGATCCTCCTCCACGACTGGTATAAACGTAGCTGTTAGTGTATATCGAGCTCGAGCCTAATAAAAAGTATGAAATTACATTAAAATTGTAATCTTAATACTCTGAGCGAAAAAGCCAAGAGGCACAGACTAAAACGATAAGTGCAAATGATTCTTACCGTTGACTCTTCGACGGATGAAAGGTTAAAGGAAGGTGGTATAGCTTCAATATCTTCGTGTTCGTTATGAAGCCTTGTTGGTAGCTGAATGCTGAATGGCAGCTCAACACGATGTTTGGCAAGGTCGCCACAATCCATCAAAGGTGGCAATGGAATCGTCGATGAAATATATATGCTGGGTGCTGAAGAGAGGACAGATGTCTGGAGATATGAGACTTCCGGGTAGTTGGCTCGTGCGATGTTGATCTAATTCAAAGTCCACCAGAATTGTTAATGATAGAGCTGCGAATCTCTGTAAAGACAGATCTGCGAATATCTGCATATTGTCAACGGAAGATCTTCAAAAGAAGGATGAAGGGGATCTTTGAATGATATATTTACCTTTGTCTCTCCAGCAAAGACTAGCCGAACACTTCCTCCAGATGGACAGCGATCAAAAGATGAAAATGTCATGAGGACTCGGCCAATTAATTTTGTGCTCGTCAGGCCCGGATATCCCACTATGAGTGAGGTATGATCCTCCATTGGCAATATCTCCAGCCTCATTTCAAGTCTAGTGGATTCGATTCGTGGTTGTCTGTCGTTTGCAAATTTTGGAGGGAGAAACTTCGCATGAAATCTCGCGTATCTTCCATGCGGTCGGTCAAAGTACAAAGAGCTACTATTAGAGTTGAAGCATTTGGAATCTATTGAGGGGCTTTATTAAGACCTTCTGGATCTCATTTAATATCAATTTCATTAAATCATCTTTTGACAAACGAATTCTTGTTTCGAGTTAGAATGTCACAAAGTATTGGACCAAGTAGGTCATTTTGGTGTATCTTAGCCTTGAAATTTCAAGCTCTGACCCTGTCGGCGGTTTGAACTCACGTTCCAAGCAATTAAATCAACCTGGTCGACGACACCTTGAAGGAGTGGCAAACATCACTTGTCATTGTAGTCGCTCGGAGCATGGAATCAAGCCTAATTTTATGGCGATGCATTAATAAAAGATGGAGAATGTCGATGTCAGAGATGTTAAATCGATTCTGGGTATGCAGGGGTTTCAAAACGAAGCACTACCTCCAGTGGCTGTCTGTAGCGTCATCTCCGATGAAGCATGTTGAGAACATAAACTACAAGAATGGTCTTCAAACCACCAACAGGCTCAATCATACCACCTACATACATGGACAAATCTGTCATGGTAGTTACGCAATAGCGGATTATGAACGAGTTGCATCATGCCATCACAGGATTGTTCTCAGGAGTCCTTGTCTGTAAAGGGAACATTCATACGTTACACTATGCCCTGAGCTGGTTTCCAAAGATACGGTGCATTTTGACAGAAAGTCGAAAGATTCACACTATAACAGAAAATCGAAAGATTCACACTATTGTACGACTTGGAGCTGGTGGAGAAGTTGAACATAATTAGCGGAGTAGCTAAAGTTGTCAGTCACGCCATGCAAGCTTTTGCCTTGTCAAAAACACATTGCTTGACACTTTCAATGAAAGTGTAAAACATATGCTTGCGAACGGCATATCGACCAACAAAAAGTTTACGCGGTTGTTGTATGGAAAAGTGGACCTGCGTCGAGAGACAGAGAGACAGGACTTTGCACTGATGGGAAACAGTAAAGTTTGAAAAACTACTCATCAACACCCTCACTATGCGGGGACTTCTTTGTGTCGAAAAAATCTATCGCATCTCAATAATCTCAATTTTGAAGAAGGACAAAATATATTCAGCGTATAAAAAGACATCTGAACGGTTGGAGAATGCGCTTAAAAATTTACCTTGCCCCATGCAGGGTTCGAACCTGCGACTTTCTGCTTAGAAGGCAGACGAACTATTCCGCTGTTCCAATGGGGGCCACAAATTTCGTCTGTTCTTGCGATCCTTGAAGCAGATCCGCCCCTCCCTCGAAATAAAGGACGGCCGCCTGAGAATCCTATTACCGCCGTGCTTGCGTTCATAGCGGATGCTCGATGCTATGGCCAAGCTCTGGGGTTCAGAAGGGCTGCCAGATTGCGTACTACTATCATGTTTCACCAACGCA